TGCAGAAGACTTGCAAAACCTTTTAAATATCTATGCTGATTACTGTGATGCTTGGAGACTTAAATTAAATTCTTCTAAAACAAAAGTACTTGTATTTTCAAGAGGTAGACAACGCGAATACACCTTTACATTCAAAAACGAAACTTTAGAAATTGTAAATGAATACAAATATTTAGGTGTCTTATTTAACAGATCTGGTTCTTTTTTTAAAACAAAGCAAGAAATTGCCAAACAAGCTACAAAAGCTACGTATTCTTTAATTAAAAAATGCAAATATCTCTGCTTACCTATAAATATTCAAATTGATCTTTTTAATAAAATGGTTAAACCTATACTTTTATATGGTTGTGAAATCTGGGGATTTGGAAATTTAGACATTGTTGAAAGAGTGCAACTTAAGTTTTTAAAACATATTTTATGTCTTAAGAAAAATACCTCAAATATAATTGTTTATGGTGAAACTGGTACCAAACCGTTATCAATAGAAATTAAAGCAAGGATGATTTCATTTTGGGCAAAACTAATTGTAACAAATTACAAAAAGCTTACAACAGAAATATATGCAGTTGCATTGAGTAATTTTAAAAATAGTCACTCAAATTTCAATTTCAAATGGATAACTTGCATAAAAGATATTTTTATAGAATGTGGAATGGCTAATATTTGGATGAGTCATGAATTTCCTAACGTAAATTGGCTGGTTAAATCAGTTAAACAAAAATTATCAGATATATTCATAAATCAGTGGTACTCAGGTCTAGAAAACACATCTAATTGCAAAAATTATTGTATTTTTAAAAGAAAATTTGAAATTGAGAAATATCTTAGTGAAACACCTTCCAAATATTTAAAATATATGATCAAATTCAGAACCAGAAATCATAAACTACCGGTCGAAACTGGAAACTGGCATAGAATCCCTTTAGAACAGAGAAAATGCACTCTCTGCAATCATAACATAGGCGACGAATTTCATTTTCTATTAGAATGCCCAAATCTTAACACGGATAGAAAAAAATATATCTCTGAAATCTATTATAGAAATCCAAATATAATAAAGTTTGATAAATTAATGAACACTGACCCCTCAAATTATGTGATATATAAAAAACTTTGCATGTTTATAAAAATAATCTTAGAAAAATATTGAACTGAATTATTATATTAAACTTTGATAAATATTTTTGAAATAATTCATTTTATTTTGTATGAATGTAAAACTTTCTCCTGTCTATGTTAAAAGAATATTGTAAGATGTGTGAGTTACATACTATTAACCTCGTTAACATTTGTAATTTGTTATTTACCTCATATTTACATGTATTGTGTATTGAGTGAATAATAAAATCTTGTAAAATCTTGATAATAATAATAATAATAATAATAATGTAAATGAGTATTTCAATTATATGCCAAAATATGCCAACAAATGTAAATGAATCAGCCTCAGTAAATTCAAATATGTAATATTTAAAATCTGATCTTAATCACTGACATAGTTATTTGAATGTTTATTGAATGTAATTCTATTGTCAATTGATTGCTTTTGATGTTTACAGGTCACACAAAAGGTCTGTACCCTAATTACATGAAATAACAAATGAATGTTTACTCAATGTTGCTTGTTGCTGTAAAAAATTATAATTTATCTACATGTATTCTTCAGATTAAAATGAAAGGTTCAAAACATTATCTAAGACAGTCACTTATAATCTTTGATACTGCATATTTTACATGATTTTCCATGCCATTGGCAGCATCTAATTTCATATTATTATCACACATGTGATAATTTCCCCACAGATTCGACCTTATTCACCGGTAAACAAACGTCGAGAAGTCTAAGGAAGTTTCAAATAACAAGTGATAACATTTGTAGTCATCTTTTATTCAGTTTTAAACCAGTCATAATTTCTGTGCAAACAGAATCTACGATAATAGAAATTATGTCACTACTCAATTCGTACCGCGATTAATTCGTTACAAGTCAGTTCGTACCAGTTGTCCATTTCAGCGTATTTTTAGACAGGTCATGCATCAGCAGGATGTTGTTACAAATTCTTATTTGACAGGTACATGTAAACTATGATTTAAAAAGGAAAAACAATGTAAGTCTATGGGGGACTGGGAGCATTCAGAATTTATTTTTGGATAACTAATAGTAATTAAAAAAGCTAAATATATAGCTCTAATATGAAATTAGGCAAAGCCTATGAATGGGTAAGTCGGTTTTGTTTTCATTTTTTCCGTTTTAAACGTGTCATTTGGTATTTCATGCACCGCTTCGATTTTCACTCGTATTACTCTACGATTTTTGATTATTACACTCGGCTATTATCTATAATAACGATCTATAATTATGTTTGAAAATATATCTGATTACCATTTTTCATTTAAATATGCCCACTGATGTACAATTTTAAACAAATGCGACTAAATGTCAACCATTTTGTACTTTCGGTTTCTACAACCATAACTAATATGGCACAAAGTCACAATTATTTTTCACCCCAACGTGACAAGGGATACAGGGTTACACAATTAAGGTTACAGAGGGATACAGTTATGAAAGTCATGAAACAGATATTTTCTATTTGTTATCATCTAGAGAAATTATTAAAATTTAAAAAGAGATCTAATTTTACTTGTAATCAACAAACCATTAACATCACCACATCAAAGGGGCTTGTTAGCTGAGCAATTAGTGAGCAATGCCCGTGGTGGATACTAATTATTTATTGAGAAAGATATTTGAGCCGCGTCACGACAAAACCAACATAATGGGTTGGCGACCAGCATGGATCCAGACCAGCCTGCGCATCCGCGCAGTCTGATCAGGATCCATGCTGTTTGTTATCAGTTTCTCTGCTTGCTATAGGTTTTGTAAGCGAACAGCATGGATCCTGATCAGACTGCGCGGATGCGCAGGCTGGTCTGGATCCATGCTGGTCGCAAACCCATTATGTTGGTTTTGTTGTGACGCGGCTCATTTGATGTTTTGTGATTTTAGACTCATATCAGGGCTTTTTTTTTTAAGGAAAAGGGGAAGACGCTGGACGCTGGTAGGGAGGGGGAAAATATACGAAAAAAGTCAATTTGGGGAAAATTAAAATCCTGTTACTAAACTACATAGTAGAGAGTCACAACAGCATCTGTTTTTCCTTAAATACTTTATCATCGTGCAAAGTATTATTATTTGCAGTATATGGCATGTTAAACGTTGCAATATTCAACAAATTTAATTTTTGGTCTTTATCCAATATTTATATTGTATAACTCTAATTTTATATGCTATTCCACAATATTTATTCTATCCTACTAAAAATATTTGTTCAGCATAAAAAAATATTTGTGTGCGATAATTTTCTATATATATGTTCTATATTTGAAAATATATATTGTCTAATTTAAAATATTTATTGGATACAGTACTGAAAAATATTTATTCGATAATTTGGATCATGGGATAGAACACTTTAAATTAGCATTTTAAGCCCCGCCTATAAAGTTAGCACGAATTTCTGATAAAGCGTTATCAGCCTGATAGACTATAGTGTAGTGGAAATGATCAGTGTCCCTGTGAATGTCACTTGTAAATATTGCATATGCTTAATCCTCCTTATAAGTATACGATATGTATCATATATGTAAATTGTATGTCTAAAAATGGAGAAAAAAATAAAGTCTTCAGAACATACAAGGGATGATCAAAAAAAAAACCGGACTGGAATTTTCAATCTATCACTTATTGTAATATATCACAATTAATAATCTAATTTGATAACGCAAATAGCTTTTACGTAACAGCGAAGTAAAAAACCATGGCAACGCACACCCGGCGCAGTGCATAAATTTGTGCTGACAATAGGAGGCGCTTTATGAAGCGTATATTTTACAATATGACACAATTAGATTTCAAAATACGAAACGTCATGAGCCATATTTGACGTTGTCAGAAAAAAATGACTTCATTTAAACCACATTTATCTTTCAATCACAATCCCAATTCATATGTCACTTGTAAAGAAAAACTCGCGTTAAAATGATGCTGTCGGAACATCACGAAATTCGATCAATAAGAAATTGTGTCAATAGTAAATCTATAAACTGTCTAAAACATAGAAATGAATAATGGAAAAAGGGAAAAGGTTAAGGTAGCCACAGCACAGTTTTTGATTGAAATAAATGATAAGAAAGAGTTATTGATAAATTGACAAAAGAAAAATAAGGGAGAGGCAGAAAGAAGAAATTTTCAAGGACGTTGGTGACGTCAATCGCCGAGAGAGACTTTGAAAAGTGGCAGGCGATTGACTGCGGACATTATAAACGATGTTCGACAGTAGGTACGGGACTGTGCAATCAGCTCTAACTAAGGAATTTAAAATGATAAATACTAATGCAATTTATTATCACATTGGCCATAGCTTTTGCAGAAGCGGTTGGTTCATCGCAGTGGCGATGGAGTTTTTGTCGCAGAAGCGGTGGATAAAATATGGCTGTTTGCTGCTGTCGGTAAATTTATGACTGAATTTTACTTTATGTTTTAATGTTTTACCGTAAACAACTAGTGAGACTGGAGCCCACATATGTACGTTTCCAACTTATTACACTCACACGGTGCAATTCATTGCCATTTTTGCTAACACTTATGTACAGTTTGACGTGGGGACGTCACTTTTGCCTATTTAAGGTTAAAACACGTACAATTGTGTGCAAAACGGCCTCTTAATGCACCAGCATTGCATCATATGTATAATACTTGCACCAAAACAACCATTATTTTGAATTTTTGAAAATTGGTATTGTCTTTTAAAATAGAAAATTAATAAGTCTCAGGTCAATATTTCCAAACCACTTGCTTATTTTAAAATGATATCAGTTTCTTGACAATAATGCTAAGCAAGTTTTCTCAAATATGATGTTTTATTATGTTTTATTATGAATAAACATTACTCAACTTATTGTTCCTCTTTTCTTTATTCTCGAACCATTAAACTGATATTTTCTTATGTTTACGATAATACAATCATATTTCTATCCGGCGACTTGATGCGTTAGCATCAAAACCTCTACTTTTTGTATATATGATGTGAAGTTGTTTGAAATAAACTATATTTTAACTAAACATACACTTATATCTTTGTATGCGGAGCTCAGTTTATAGCAGCTCGTTAGCCCAAAAGTCCAATGTGTCCAAAAATAAAATTTATAAATACAGGATTATATTATGATCACAGTGAATGTGATTTTGCATTTGTTTTATTTACTCAGTAATAAATATGTTTTGAACAAATATGTACACTGTAAATATGCAAATTACACCACAAAATATATAAAAAATAAATACAAATTAACGGTAAACATTATTTTCGTTACATAATAAATTGACCTATCATTCTTTGACCTGTCTGCTGTGTCTCAATAATCGTTTTATAATACATAGAAGATATGCATTTTTTTTACAGAAATTGATACAGAATTAATTATTATCAAGTGGTTTTAAAGATATTTTCTAATATATCAATATAACTGCGAAAAGTGCATTTATAATAAGCATTTTGAAACAATTCCAGTGACTGGATTAAATGTTTAAGAATTATTCAGAGCAAAACATGACAACATACATGTATTTCTTTAAAAAGAATTTGATACCAGAGTGGACATATTTATTAGAAATGCGAAGTAAAACTATATTAAATATTCTAGGAATAGTTGCAAAAACTTAATAAGTTTATTTTATCAAACAGAACGATGTTTTATGCATTTTATTTTCCATTGCCTATATTTCAGTTACACCATTTGCAATTGAAAACTTTTGTAAGTCAAGTTTTAAATATTCGGTACATTATGATTTCCATTGTATTCTTCTTATTTCTTTTTGTTTTGCCAAGTTCAAAGCTTATCTAAAGAACACCTGATCGAAAGTCTCATAGTACTTGATTATGTGTCGTTTCATCGATTGAATTTCTATTTTTCATGGCTGCTCTGTCAAGTTCTCTTTTTCACTTTTGTCTTGCAAGGATTGTTCTTCTAAACTTAAAGGCTTTATAATTTTGTCCGACAGATCTATACCAAACGTTTCCGGTATAGGTATTGTCAGGAAAATTGACACTATCGTACCAGCAGCACATATCCAATACAAACTCCCAGCTATCTTCGTGTCCTAAGATAAACAAATAAAGTAATGATTACATCCTTTGCATTGTCATTGCATGATATAATAAAATAATTTAATGATTTGTATCAGCTTGAAATGATGTTTAAATTATTTGTTTGAATCCACATCATACTCTTAAGAAGAGGTCTATAGACTCTGGTGACAAAAGAACACAAAGTGTTTCTGGAAACATATTTGTCATGTTGTACACCTATTTGATTTCAAATACATGTACTAAAATGAATAAAGTAGCTGATAAATTCATCGGACCATCTGTTATGCTGCATCTAATTGAATACGATATGTACTGATATGTATATGTATATATCGCTATCTTTTTTACTGAAGTTGTTGGTTTGGTAATTTTATAAAGACACTAAGCGTGTTCCAGCTCAAAGTCTCAAAGTTCCAATTCACCAGAATTATTTTGCGTGAATACACATGCCATCTCGACTTCTTGTCACGTATTGCCATGTTTCTGCTTTTTGTATATATATATTGATGCTGTATCAATACTTCTTCTTAGGACTTAAGTACAAATAAAAGTTCTTCTTTTTTTCTTTCTTATAATCATCACTGATGGATGGCATGTAAAAATAAAACAAAAGCAGAAATAATTACCAAGAATACAAGCTGTGGGCCGATTACTGCACCTAATCTGGCCATTGTATTCTGTAGCCCAAAACCAATATTTCTAAAATATATGATGAAATGAAATTAGTTGTTAGAATTGATGGTTTACTGTGATACATACATACATACAGGGTACGAGTAATAAAAAAAAGGAATCACAAACTTTAAGTACTGACTTCTATTTTGTGGAAGAGGTCATATTTATACTTGTCATTTGTAGTGGCCACTCGGAGTCTAGTATTAATAACCCCGCCTCTGTATACTGATGTGTCCGCCTCTGGCTAGCCACTGCATGTATTTTTATATTTCAGTCATTGTTGAGTTAGTTATTGTGACTGTATCTTTATAAGCTATATTAAACCATTCCGTTTTGGGTCTGTCATATATATGACACTGACATCCTAACATCATTGAATTTAACATGCCTCATATTTTCGTATACAAGTATCTGCAAAATTTAAGTCATTCAATATTCCCCCTCTGCAAGAAACAAAAAACGTGCATAAAAATAATAACAAGAAACGTATTATTTCATTTATTTAATGAATGACTATATGATAAACACTAACGTAGTTTACCTGACAACTGTAGGGTAAGTTTCTATTGTCAATGTCTGAATTGGTGACCAGGCAGTGTTTACTGCTATTAGTGCAATTATTGCAGCAGAATTTGTAAGCTGACCTCTGACAAGCGAATCTAAAATGATGAATAAACAAACATAAAATAGTAACTGCGTTCTCCTTGAAATAGTGATACATAAATCGCTATGCTCAATGCTTTTAGCGTACATTTATCTATTTACCAATATGTCACAGATCATAAATTGTTATAATTGAATTACTTCAAGTTTACTCGTTTTAATATTGACATAATAACGAACATGAACGCATCGTTCCCCATTTAAAAGAAGTAATCCATGTCAAAATATCATATCAAGTGAAGTATGCTTTTTGTATGGTGTATAAAATTGAAAACTGATGTTAACTTCAATAATTCATAATTAGGCAGTTAATTTAGTACAAAACGTTTCGTTAGATACAGATGATCTTGACATGGTAATGCTTGTTTCAATAACAAATGAGCCGTGCCATGACAAAAACCAACATAATGGGTCTGCGACCAGCATGGATCCAGACCAGCCTGCGCATCCGTGCAGTCTGATCAAGATCCATGCTGTTAGCTTATAAACCCTATTACAAGTACCAGACTGATAGCGAACAGCATGTATCCTGATCAGACTGCGCGGATGCGCAGGCTGGTCTGGATCTATGCTGGTCGCAAACCCACTATGTTGGTTTTGTCATGACATGGCTCAAATATTTGAGTCATATCCTACTATTGGAAAATAGTGTTACCTCTGAAACGATAAGCAACTGCTACTGTTAATGAAGCGACTGCAGTTATGATGTAAAATATTATGGCTGTCTTCTTACGACCAAATCTAAAATATATATGAATTTCAATGATAATATTTGTGACCACAGATCATGAGGAATCTGGACAGGTGCTATGATTTCAAACGTTCATTTACATCTAGAAATATTCTAATAGTCAAAAGAGAAAAGGCGCAACATTAAAAAAGAAAGGGATTGAAATATTCAAAAAGGAATAACTTATAGCAATTTAATGTTTTTGGAAATGAAAAAACAATTGCAATACCAAAAGAAACATATTTTTGAACGACTGGCTGTTTTTCTTAAAATCGTAAGAAAAAAAGAGCAACAACAGCAAAATTGGTTGTTTGTACTACACTATAACGTTCTCACCTGTTTTGGAGGTAGACGCAAACAAACTGCGTCGGGCTTGATATCAAACCATATAGAAATATATTTATGAACAGGTTTCCAGACAGATCGGTTATCCCATATTGGATTCCATATCCTCCAAGCCCAAGCGTGATCCTTAAAAAAATTTATAATGAGGCACACATTTTTAATTTAGGGAAATGACAATTTTTGTAAGTACAGCATAAAAGAAACTTCAACACAATTTCATTTGTTTTATTTAATTGAAGGTCTTAATCTAATAAAGCAGTGTTTCAATGTTTCAGAGGCTTAAACTGTCTGTTCATATTTATCTAGAAATTTTCTCATTTTAAAATGGAAAATGTTTTCATTATCGATACTTATGAAGCCAATAAGGATATCTCTACTAAGTTCATCTACTTACTGTTATTTTGAATTCGAAACAAACTTAAATACTTACCAAACAATGATAAGGAGAAGCGAATATTTACGCAGTTGTCTATCATTTGCTAGGTCCCAAAATGTATATTTCTTATCTGTGTCGTGTGTATCATTGATGTCATTCCTCAACGAAAATATCTCCGGTGCTGGTTTTCCGTTCACTCTAGCTACCTTTTTGATAATATTCTCGGCATCTCTAATTCTGTCGTGCCCTACATACCATCGAAAACTTTCCGGAACAAACCTTTGTATATAAGATCAGTAAATTACATGCGTTTATGGAATCCATAAATAATTTTAAGCACGAGTTTCCTTTTCAAAAGTGTGTTTTGATGATAAGCACTTTCTTAAACAAAGGGAAATGGAACCGAATACAGAACTATAAGACAAACATAATGAACCCATACATTAAATTATAACTGTACAAAAATACAATGAACACAGTATTTACTTACGGCGAAAGCTCTGTGACAAAGAAAAGAAACTGGGAGAGATATACAGTGTCATTGTGAAAAATCCAAAGATATTGCACTTAAAAGCGGACTACGTATGTCATTCGAATTTATTATATATATACAAATATTCTGTAATTTCAAAAAAAGACTTTTGTGTAAGTAGTAATGCTAATTTCCTTCATAATGCGTAGTGTTCGTACAGTGTACCAATGGTTCCTTTCTGTTTAACAAGACAAAAGTCAAATATGTTTGAAAAAAATTGGTTTTCGTGCGAAACGAATCGTCAAAGAAAAAAACAGTGAAGGGGTAAATAGAGAATACCATGCATGCTTGTGTCTGTTATTATAAAAAATATCAGGCAAGGTAGAGAAAAAGAATTTCGCGGCCCTTCATGTTTTCGTGCCGATCCTGATAAATTTGATAACAACAGACACTTGTTTGTATTCTATTTATCATGTTAGAAAGACAAATAGAGACAATTAAACCAGATCCGCACCAGTAGCTTGCCAGTAATGGAATTCCGTAGACAGCTGCAAATATATGTAAATGTCTCCAATCCTTGAGGAGCCATGCAGCCATAGCGAACAATAATGTTCCTATTGCCCATGAAGGTACTGCTACAACCCAGGTTCGCCATTTGGCCTGTGCAAACTCTACCATCAAATTATATTGAACTGTAAGTTCGAATCCCATTGCAAGACCAATGAAGAAACGAACGGCTGCAAACATTGTCCATGTTGTTGAAAAGGCAGTCAAAGCGTTGAGCAGAATCAATGCTAATAATGAGAGAAAGAGTGGAGGTTTCCTTCCGATAAGGTCTGCCACCTGGCCACATGCAAGGTTTCCCACTAAAACCCCTGCCATTTGGATTGATGTAATGGTTGAAGTAACCCAAGCTTTGTCGCATACCAGGTCCCACTAGAATAACACAATTTGAAAAAAGAAGATTTTTTTTTGCATGAAAAACTTTAATGAGGCATAATTATGTAATTTTTAACAAGTTTATGAAATTCAAATACAAAGCGTTTAGGAGAATCCATCACGAGCATGACATAGTAAAGAACAATAATAATGTTCAACTGTCACAAAAATTACCTACTAATATTGTAAGTTTATATTCATTGATGCTGTCCATAAACGACATAAGTAGTTCAATATAATAGCTACAATGTCAAAAGCAGTCTACATATCAAAACATTTGAATATAGTAAATCATATCTAAATCATTTAAATTTAACAAGTAAATATATGAATACGTGTTGTTTCTGCAATTACCTGCGTAACGATGGTAGACATTGAGTCATCAAATATGAATTTAGTGCACGAAGATGTTCCATTTGCTGCTACACAGGATTTATATTGCGGCATGTCCGTCGTGTACGTAACATTCAAACCATCAAAGTCGTTTACACACCACCAATCTGGTTTGGCGGCACCGAATGTCATGAATAGCATACTGAAGCATACGATGCCTTTCATTGAATGTACAATAAAACACAAAATGATTTGGTACCTTCCGCACCCACCACTCTGTTCCAGAAGATCTTCAAGCTGTAATTGACCCATTGTCGTCTGAAACAGACAAAATGAAAATGTCGGCCATGTGGGCATGTTTTATTTGAGAAAAGATAACCAGTACAAAGAAACCGTATATATGCACATACATTATACTTTTTCGCTATAAAGATAAGCTAAGACAGTCATATAAACAGATCTATAACATTCTGGATTCTTGATATAAATATATGTAGTTATAATGATTTAACAACACGATGTATATTTAACATAACTTTCTGCATTTTAGGTATCAAAATAATCTGAGACAATCATTTGATTAACAAAATGATCAATTAGAAAAATTACATCATTTTAGGCATACACATATGCCAAGAAAATAATTTCACCAATCAAACGATGAATGTATTAAAATAGTCTTCACTTAAGCATAGAGATAATAATAGGAACAAAACGCTAATTTTTAGACATAAAGAAAAAAGCATTAGAAATAATTTAACGAAACAATTCATGTTTAACAAACATTCTTATATTAGACAAAACATAAGCAGAGACAAAAATTTAACAAGGCAATGGATTCACAACAGTCAATCATGATGAAATGTGTATAGACCTTTTAACAGTACGAGTTTTCCTTTGTAACAAATGTTGCATTTCGCGCATGCGCATTCTGCGTTGGACAAAAACGCAATAACTAAAGACTACAATTTATCTTACTTAAATGCTTTAATAGACGTGATTTTAAGTTATGTCACCCAGAAAACAGTAATTTTGGAATGATTTCAAGCGGTAAGTACTTACAACGTGAATTCATATTTAAAACAGATATGCGAAATAAAAAATTCAGTGATCAAAAAGCGCATCACTAGAAGGGCATTTTTTACACTAGAAGTTAATTTAATTAACTCCATATTGAAAAAAAAAATGGAGGAAAATATTAAAGCCGTCTTTTTCAAATTGATATAAAACAGAAGTAAAAGGCAATTTAAATGTATCACGTTTAATGTTTTTTTCTGTATTATAATAATATACCTTTCTGTCATTTATGTTAAATTATTACAAATCAAGTCATAAAACTTTTCACAATATAAGGGGATAGTACATTATTTTATATGCAAAAAGAGGGAATGTTAGTAAAATATTTCTCATATTTACAGGTATCGAACAAAATTTATATGTTTATCAAAAATAGAAAAGAAATGTTGATTAGTAAAGCAATTTTTACGATATCGGTGGACCAGATATTTGTAATAGATAATTCACATTTTTTATTACATAATGAACAATCTTGTAGGGTATTTTTCCGTTTTTCTATCGCATTCCTACAGCTCTTAAAATGCGGTTAACGAACACTTGACCAAGCCACTAATAAGCAGCAAACGGATAAGCTATACTTTTACATAATACCAATTATACCATTTGCTTGTGTGCTCACAATTGATTGTCTGTGATTGAACATGTAATCGTCTTTGTTCTTTTACAAGGGTGAATATGTTGGTTGTTTATATATGTTAGTACACCATGGGTATTATATAAGTGCAATAGCAACATACTCTGACAGACACCGACAGCTGAAGTAACAATGACCTCCTACATTTTGTATTTGTATGCATTAAATCGGTCAACTTCAAACATGCTAAATAAATTAAACTGCGGACTTTGCAATACTTCATTCTGAACAACACTATCTAATTTATTTAGGGTGAAATTCGAAAAAAATGTACGGACTGAATAGCTGAAACAGACGACACGAATGTACTGGCTGATATTAGTCCGAACTTATCGCATGTATAGACTTATTCGCCGACAGTTATCTAATGGTTTTTATCATATCGTAAATGTGTCAGAAAAAAATGTCTACTTTATTTTAATAAAATACCATTTTTTACAAAATGCTCAAGAAGTAATGGGTTAAAGAAAATACAAATAAATATACATCTCAATTAACGTTTTTGGTAGTTCTGATATAGACATATAGGCAAAATTAAAACTGTTCAATAGAGGTTCTTTAAACTTGGCAAGTTGTTATAAAGGGATAAATAATTTGGGTCACCGTTCTCGTTTTTTGAGTTATCTGTCCCTTAATCAGAATTGAATTTTTTACTTATTTTAGGTCATTTAAAGAGCAGATAACTTATACATACGTCAAAGAATTTTTATTTCTACCACTTGATTATGTTCTTTTTTTTAATTGTTGAGCACAGTATATAATAACATGCAATTCCTTATATTATTTCTGGTTTTAATTTTACTGAAAATAAAGGTACTTAAAATTCCTAAAAACGGCAATTTTTAAGAAAAAAAATGCTCGTAATTCGTTCTTGAAAGTTTGCATATTGACTAAAACGAAGGTAAGCTTCATGGAAATAAAAACAAATAAGGTATTGTTTCCCTTTAATATAGAAATTCTATTGAACTATATGTCTGTATGTCTGTATGAAAACTGCCGAAAACGTCCTGATAAAAATGGTCAACTTAAAAGCTATGGTTTCTCGAATTAAGTAAAACTATTATTTATTGAATTTATATATATATATATAAATAATTAAGAAAATGAAAAACGAACTTTATTAAATAATTTTTTAAAAGAGGACTAAGTCTTTCAGTTATTTCTTTTGTTATTTATTTGAAGTTATGCCCATTCTATATTAGATTATAAAAGGACTCCCCTGAGTTTATTTGTATACGACGGGACTGGATATATTTCCCCAGATTTGTATACCATTTGTGCAAATTTTCAAAATATCCCCTCTTCACGTTGCTTCATAATGATAATTTTCATTGTACAAAATGACCCAAAAGAGAAAAGTGTTGCATGAATTGTACTAACTATCGATTTTCAATTTATTTTTAACTAGAATGTCTTTGTCATTCTTATAAATTTTATTTTCATTTTAAATATTTCACTTTATTTGTTTTTTAAAAATTTCTAATTTTATGTTCTTGGGCTTTTACCTCATTTGAGTTTCATAAAGCAAACCATCAGTGACAGCCTGTCACGTATAAAAGAAAACCATCTGTATAATGACTATCTGAATTCATTCAAAACTGATCAGTAAGTCTGACTAGTCAAGGTATAAAGTCATAAAACGTTATTAATATGTTGTTAAATTATACGACACAGAAATTCAATTGATATATCTCTTTTTCGAACACAAATTTAACAAAGGGGTTACAAATTATTCATGGTTTACACTTTGCTACTTTATAACAAACATTATTACCTCTCAATAATTATGTAATGTTAATTTTCCATATAGGCCACTGGGAGTTATTTTTACTGTAAAATGTGACTAAGAAATTTGTACTGTTACAGGGTAACAGTATTTTTAACAGTATAAATCTGGTCAAATGATCTACTTTCTAAAGAAAATAAAATAAGAATTATAAAAGATCATCACAGTTATAGTTCGGGGTAATAAAAATATCACATGGGTTTTTGGGTAACAGAAAAAATATCATCAATCTATAACATACTGTAACACTCGGCTCGAGATTATATTTTTACTGTAACTCACAAACCACGGCCGTGTGTTATTCATATTATGCCAAATTACGCGCTACTTGCGAATTCTTTAGGTGATGAACATCTAAAATACTTTAAAATCATTATTTAATCGCTATCATTCATGGCTTGTCATTAAGTCCAAAGAAAATAAATAAAACAGTTTTGAAGGAACTTGTCATAAAATAGAATGGTACATTACAAATACATTTATCTTGACAAAATCCATTAACGTATACTTAAACGGTTTGCGATGTTACACTTTGGAGACTGTTCTTATCATTAAGTCATGTGTACACGTACATATATATACATGTAGAATATTTAATTCTGTACCAAATACATTAAGTATTTCAAAACTAGAATTCTACAGTTAAACACAATGATGTTTAGTTTTTTTTAAAAAAAAAAGACTATATAATTATATATATCATAAAACTATCTAACGCGTCGGTCAATGTTTCACTGCCGTCCTGCTCCTTATCACTTTGTTGCTAAGGGAACCTAATATTATAAAAGGTTGCAATGATTTAAATGCAAAGAATCTCGGGCACTGAATGGGCTAAAATGGAAAGAAATATAATATATAAAGTTTACCTCAGTCAAAGTCAGATGAGCAGTATCCTTTAAAATAATAATCAATGTGAAAACACTTCTATATTAATATGTTACTATGATTGATATATTTGAACAGCCGCGGAAAACCACCTTGTCTTCATGTCAAGTTGTTTTTTTATCACATGCGAGCAGTAACGTTATTACATTTTACTATTGACGGTTAAAGACCCATTATTCCTCAGAAAAGCATTATTTTTATTTCTCGATTTTTTTTTATTTTTGAAGACCCTTGTTCATTCGAAAAGGTTACCCATTTGCATGTTCACCTGAAACATCTTTTGCATATATTACCTTTTGGAAATTAGCGCACTCACAGTGACTAAGCATCTTGTATGGAAGTCAAAAGACTACTTTGTTATCACATAGACTTTGTTATCGCACAGAGCTATTTGTTTTTGTTTGTTTGATTCATTTTACGCCTTTTTTTAAACAGTATTTCAGTCATATAGGCGGGTAGTTTCCTAACCATCATTCCTTGAAAGTAACACCAGTACTTAACTACCTTCCTCTGCGCTAAACTACCAAAGCATCTCCCGGGGATCGAACCCACGCCAGAGAGGTAACTGGATTAGAAAGCATCGACTCTAACCCCTCGACCACGGAGGCGGTACACAGAGCTATAATAACATGGACGGAAGCTCTGTCACTATAACTTAAAATATGTACAAGCGTTTCATTACCCCGCAAATTTATTCACATTTTCCAAGATCATGTTTGACAGGAGCAAAACCAATATGTACGCCGCCATGATATCAATAATTTGTTTTGGTAATCAAAAGATCAAAAGAAGTACGCCGCCATGATATCTATAATTTGTTTTGGTAATCAAAAGAAGTAACAAGAAAAGAAGTTGAAAAATAAGTGAAAACAGCAATAAAGATTAAGTAGATGTAATTTATTCTCAGAACAAATATCAACACATTTAGTTAAGTAA